ATTCAAGAACATCAAGAACATCGAGAAATCATCATAGCAAGTATAAAATAGGTTTTGTAAGACATGGGTTATCTCTTGTAGCCTAAGGAACACTTCCTCAAACTCCTAAACTTCCTCTTGAAGGTCTTCTTCCACAAGATCTTCCAAACACAAACCAAAACCCCAACAAAACAAACAAAACTTAGATAAAGGTGATGGAAAACCAAGAAATAACACTAAACAAGCCTAGGACTTACCCTTCCTAAGGTTGTAGAGGTGGAAAGGTGGAATCTTGGAGGTTTTTCCTTTGCAAGGTTGGGAGAGTTTTAGGTTAGCTTGGAGAGAAAGCTAAAGTGTAGAGAGAACGGTATAGAGAAGGGTGTTTCTTACCTAAGTGAGGAAGACTAAGGGGGTAGTATTAGAAAATGTCTTGGATACCAAGCTAGGATTGTGAAATGGCTAAAATGACCTCCCTTTCCCACAACTAGTTAAGAGAAAATTAAAGATTAGGTACAAGACATAAAGCACAAGGTCTTTCCATGGACTAAATTAAAAGATCAAGGAACTTAGGGTCCGTTTGGAAAGCAGGAAAATGACTTCTGGGAAATATTTTATGAAAAATGAGTCATTTTCTAGAAAAAATTTTCCTTTACTGTGTTTGGCTGCACAATGGAAAACTGTCTTTTGGTATTTGGTTCATGAATAGAATGAAATACTTAAACATTTTAACTGGTTTTATGCTAAAGTATCATCAAGCTCTTCACTGATTTCCCCAGCCGAAAATCACTTATGGTTTCCGGCTGGGAAACCAGTGACTCTGGTTTTCGCATCGGAAACCAGAGGCAATGGTTTCCGATGCGAAAACCAGTGAATTGGTTTTCGATGCGGAAATCAGTGAAGAAGACCAGAAAATTTTCCAGCTGTGGGTTTTCCTCCCCACAGTTGGAAAATAACTACACTGTTGGAGGAAAAAAAAATTCAGAAGGGAAAATGATGAAATAGTTTCTAGTGTTGGTGAAATTTTTGTGGATTGTTGGAGGAGGAAGTGTTGGTAGAGTTGTCTGAATGTTGAAGGAGGAGGCGAAGTGGTGAAGTCGCACTGAAGCAGTGTGTGTGTGTGTTTAGAAGATGGAAAATGACTTCCCCCTAAAAAAAAGGGGAAGTCATTTTCCAGAAATCAGCCCTCATTTTCTGTTGACTATCCATCATTTTCCTTTGAGCATTTCATTTTCAACCTACCCAAACACCAGAAACTCGGAAAATGATTTCCAGAAGTCATTTTCCGAGTTTCCAAACAGACCCTTAGTCAATTTAGGTCCCTCCACTATTCTCAATGAAACTTAGGAAGGAAATTATAGAAAAAATATATGAATTAATTGGACAATTAATTCGGTTTAAAGGTTAATTTCTCGGGGTGTCACACTTTTCTTCTCTAGTCTCAATTTTAGTTTTATATTTTCTCTCTCTCGCTATTCTATCACTATTGCATAACAAAAGATTCTAATCGAAGATCACCAAAGATCAACTACGGAAAAAACGTCTTAATTTACAATAACAAATACAATATTTGAGAAAAAAATAATATATTACCCATAGATGTATGGATAAGATATCAAATATTATTAAGCTTGTGGTATTTAGCAAATATATAGCAACTATGTCCAAATGAAATTATTTACCAAAAAAAATGAAAAAAACTACAATGGCGAAGGTTTGATCTAAGATCATTGTAAGAAATATATCATATTTATATTATGCTTTTTTGTAGAACTTGAGAACATTTTTTTTTTTAAATGAAGACAAAGGAAGGAAACCCCAGAAAACTAAATTAAACTTCATTGTTGTTACGAAATATTACTACGAAAATAATATTTCTGGGAAAAAGAATAACAAGCACGAAATGAAAGGATTTTTAGGCTAGGTGTTTAGCTTGAGTCGTGTGAAACCCACACTATCCTTAAAACCTTATTTGCTACCTTCCTTTGGTACAAGGAGCGTTGTAGCCTAGGTTTCCCATGATATAAAACAAGCTACAGTTTAATGTTTGAGCACTCAAACACTTAAACCCGGCGAACTAGAACAAGACTATGATCAGTGAAAGGTAGGAGTAGGAAGAGCAGAGTTTCGTGTTGAAGAAAGCTGATTTTTGTGTGTGTAAAATCAGCTGCTCTACCAAAGGTTATATAGGAGAAGATGGAATTAATAGAATTAAAGAATGACATTAATTTCTGATTTAAAACCTAGACTATAACCTTCAAAACTGACAACCATTAACCTGAAGAGACAAATTCTAAAATTTAAAATTGGAATAAATATGAAATTAATTCTGTAACATAAGAATTAATACTCCAAAACGGTAACTTGAACGGTACCTTCGAGCTGTGCCCGAATGGTAATCCGAAAGATTACAACCGAGGGGTTAGCCATTCCGTCAAACATCTTTGACCAAATGGTAGTCCTCCAATGTTGGAAAAACTACAATCGAGCCGAGCAATCTACTCGGACAATGGCTCTATGTTGGAAAAACTAAAATTTGGCATAACTTTACTTGCCAACCAATTTTTTGAATAACATTTATACCCACATACATGAGTTTACACCCCCCCTATATGCAATAAAAGGGCTCTATGCTATACAATTCAATAAGTCTTAGAAAGGTTCTTGTATATATAGTGGTGTAAACCCACTTCCCAAACCAATGTGGGAGAAAAGCTTCTTTAAAGCTTTTCCACCTTCATTTTCTAACTTAAATGGATCTACTTTTAAAATCAATTTCTCATTCACCCATTATTCATTTTGAGTGTATAATATATCAATCTCTTTGTCTCACTACAAAGAACACGAATTGACTTTGACCCGACCCAAATTAAAACTGGACCCACTAATATTTGTACCACAAAATAGCTACTTAAAATGTCATTTTATGCTATTTTTTCAACAATTGTTTAGCACTATAAGCCGCTAAACACAAACAATCTTGTCTCTCCACAAAATCTGGTGTAAAGAATTTGATGGAGAATCAACCAAATGTAAACCCCTTTCTTGTCTCACAGAATTCAAGAAGTTAGTTTGGTAACTACAAGGTTCTAAGTTCAACTCTCTGTATGAGCTATATCTATTAGACTTTTTAGTTTGAATCATCCATTTATAAGTTACCTAAGTTGGCTTATCTCATTGTGACACTTTACCAATTAAGATCACAAGGTAAGTTTCACCTAAGCAAAGTGCACAATGTAACTGCATGCGAACGTTCCCATAAAATAAAAAAAAAAAAATCGAGAAATTAAATGTGAGTAATCATATGCTAACATGTTTCCCATGCATGGCCTCGTCTCTTGCACTAGTTGTGAGTTGTGACTTCTCAACACTTTTAGCATTAAAAGTTCCTACTGGTGCTACTTAAGCATGCCTTAAGGGTTTGGACGGTTTAAACCATTATAATAGAGTGCGTGCTTATTTACTAACTAGAGACCTAACATAACACAAATTTACTTTACTTCTTTTCCTAAGCTTTTATAAACACCAGTTGATTAAAATTGATTAATACACATACAAATATATGTGTATGTGCGTGAGAAAATAAAGATAATTACATCTTCAGGACTCACATCAATCACACTTTTGTTACACAGGTGTAGTTAATAAGAAAAGGAAATTAGGGTTTGATGAAGCATGACAATTAGATTAGACGCAATCCACCCACAGCCCACAGCTAGCTAGCAAAGTGTAAACAGTACAGTAGTGATTCGATCTGCTGCGCAGCTAGCAATATAATGGTGAAGTGAAAAAAAGGGTGTGTTTGGTTCGCACATGAGAGTCGAAATCGGAATGAGAATCAAATACTTGGTAATGGTAATGAGTTTTGGTAAAAATATTTTGCATGTTTGGTAGTAGGGTGGAGTGGCAAATTATGATGTGGAACCATATTCACCTTGCAAGGTGGACACAGTTTCAAAACTGTTCATAATTATGAATATATAGTTCAAAAATTATGAACATATAGCTCTATAATTATGAACATAAAGTTGTGAACATAATTATGAATATAAAGATTCAATAATTGTGAATATGAAGTTAAAAAATTATGAATATATAACTTTATAATTATAAACATATAGTTCAGTGATTATGAACATAGAGTTTTATAATTGTGAGTATAGAGTTCAATAATTATGAATATGAAGTTCAAAAATTATGAATATATAACTTTATAATTATGAATATATAGTTCAATAATTATGAACATAGAACCGTGTCCACCTTGTAAGGTGGACACGGTTCCACAACATAACTATTGGGGTGGAATTGGAATGATTACCAATATTGCTGTTTGTTTATGTATGATCCTATAATGAGAATAAAGGTTTTAAAAATACAAAAACAAAACATCAAGACAATTTATTATAATATAAAGACATCCAAAGCACTAATATGAACAAAAAAATAAAAACAAAAATCTAAAATCACTAATCCAAACTTAAAAATCAAATTACTTAGGAGGGAAAATAATAGAATGGAACACTTGCTAAGCACCTTGTGCTCAGATAACACCCGGGGTTGGATTCCCATACGAGAGGTTGTGAGTTCGAGCCTCAGTGGAGGCGTTATTGGCTCTTTGTGCATGCTACATTGTAATAGAGTCAGTAGCATTCAAAAAAAAAAAAAAAAAATAGAATGAAACATTTATTTTATTAAGGAATGAATTTTCTAATTAAGCTCTAGAAACCTGTCAACTAAACAACAACAATGACTTTGATTCCCATTCCTGATAACTAAACCCATGAACCAAACATACCCTTTTAATTAATGGTAGCTTCAGCCGCAGGATGTAATTATATAGTTACCAAATTAAATCCATTAACAAAGGATGATTAACGTTGTGATTGGGTTTTGACAACTCGTATCTCACATTAAGCCAATTAGAATGGCGATTATGTTCCCCCACTGTCGCCATCACTTGTCGTTATTCTATCATATATATATGGAACTGTTCAACAACTGTTTCCACATTATTGATAGTGAAATGCATAGATGTTACTTGCTAACTTCCGCCTTTGGCACTAGGCCAGGAATGAAATTGAAATTATATGTACACAATAACAAAATTATTGAATAGCGTGTATATGTGTCGCTACCTCCGAATTAATTAAATTTGACATCACGATATATATAAAAATTAAACCTTGATTAAATGTGATAATTTAAATGATTTACATCTCATCTCACTTGAATCAAACATTTTTCAACCTGCCCAAATTGCCAAATTGCTTTAAAAATTGTCAAAAAATAAATAAATTAGCCTAGATTAGAGAAGGATTATATTGTGGTCCTGTTTGGTAAAATAGTTAGTCTATAGGTCAATTTTGACTTATTTGATCACTATTAATTATTTGATTTGATTTAAAAATTAATATAAGTGTTTGGTTAATTAACTTTTTGTACCTCAAAATGCTAAAATTTAAAAAAATTACTCAAAACAACTTTTTCAATTAGCTTTTTGAGAAAAGAAATTATACCAAACAGCTATCAACTAACAACTAATTTATCAGACATTTTTTTACAATCAGTTAATGTTATCAACTAATTATACCGTCTAATTAACCTAATTAGCTAACAGCTAACAACCATTTACCAAACATGGCTTATGAATGTCAGATTTGAATTAACCCTTTAACATTAACATTTTTCTTTTTTCATTCAACACGTACATTTTTTGATCTCTCAAATATTCTTTTTTTTCTACAAAAAGTGCAAAAACAACTAGAAACAAGTATAAAGGGGCTGGGTTTTAGCATTTTTACTTTTCAATCTCAAGTAGTAATTACTAGGGTGGATTCAGGAATTTTTTTGAGTGAGCTGAAGTTCAAATAAATTTAAAAATGTTTATGAAAAAATATAAAATATGATATAAAGTATAAATAAATATATTAAAGATTAAAAGAAAAAAAGGTAGAATAAAACCCCTTAAAAATATTGTATATTACAAACTATCAAAATTTGATTTGAATCACAAATATAAATAAAGGGTAAAAAAAAGCTAGAATAAAGCCCCTCCCCACTAGTGAAGTGGTAGAAAAAGTTAAAACAAAGTAAGTGATGTTTATGGGGTTCAAACCCATGACCTATACAACCAAATATTAAGGGTAAAAAAGTTAGAATAAATCCCTTCCCATTTGATATACATTTTATTTATATATATAAATTTACTCATATATATATATTTTTATATATAAACTAGAAAATAGCTTGAACATCAAAAAACTAAAGTACTAAACTACTTAAACATCAAAAAATTTATATATATATATATATATATATATATATATATATGATCGCGTTCAGGTGCGAACTGTCCGTCCAGAAAAGAACTCAGAATGCATGACATCCGTCCACATGTCCAGATCTAACAAATGAGAAACATTAATTTAAAAAAAAAACGCGGTGACAATTTCATAAATAATTAAGCATCGAAGTGCAAGTAAAATATACTACAAGTGCAAGTAAAATGTATTACAAATGCAAGTAGCAATTTCATATAGTGTACCTAACATTATAATTAGTTGCATATAAGGTGCACGAATGTTAACAATATAAATTACTTACACTTGTAAGTGATTTTACTTGCAAAGGTGCACCCAGCTACTTGTACTTGTAACACATTTACTTGCACCAAAGTTTGAGTTATTTACGAAAATGTTATTGCATTGTTTTTAAAAAATTATATTTGATTCTTTGATATGAACACGTGCACGGGTGTGAGTGATTCTTGTTTCTTTCCTTTGGATCCACCCCTGGTAACACTAATTAATGAGACTGGGCTTATTCATGATATAATCGGATCCTGTTTAAAAAGATTGAGAAGAAAGGAAGAGGAAAGTAATGAAGATAAAGATATGTGGAAAATGACTCGGTAGAAAGCTATACATGATACGATATGATAGGTTGGGTGGGTAGTGTAAACAGGCCAGTGGTGGACGAGCGTGGACCTAAACACACGGTGCTACGAACAAAGTAGCCGACGGTGGAAGGAGGCACCCAATTAAGGAAATCTTTCATTGTTTTGAAATTAATTAAGCTATCATGTCATGGATGACAGAAAAGGTAAAAGCAACAATATATGATATATATGTAAAAAACACACTTTATATTATAATGTGCATGAGCCTTGGGATTTTGCTCATACTGGGGCATGCAATACTAGGAGATGTTTTGTTGTTGTTCATATTTGGCACTAAAGCTAGCTAGTGGTGCATCTTTCTTTCTTTCTTTCATTATTTCAGATCAGACATATATGACATCTCATCCCTGCTTGCTAGCTAGCTCATTAGTTATATATGGGAAGAATAATTTAGTTACGTTATTACACCTCCCTTGGGTCAACAAAGAGGGCGCCTTTGGAGTTTGCGATGAGTTCTTGTTTCTGTTCATTGTTAATCTTCAATGGCTTTATGCACCACAAATCCTCCGGACACGACAGTAGTCTCCAATGTGGGATGTCATGTCTTAGCTGCTTATTGTCGTCGTCGCAACACCCAACCTCCGTTACAATAAGTTTAACGTTGTCGTCGTCGTCGGCGGGGAATAAGTTGTTATTATTACATACGAATTTCCAAAGTGCCCGGACCAGCTTGCCGGAGAATGGGCCCTCGCGGTGCAAACCATACACGAAGTAGAATCCGAAGGGGCCGACCAAATCTGGGAATGCGGGAGGCGGTTTCAGACACGGAACAGCGTTGTTCAACAGTTTCGCCATTGTCGCGTACCAGGAACAAGACAAGGTTTGTCGGCCTAAGGTTAGTTTGAAAAGTTTGGCACAGTTCCATACACTGACCATGGCCCAGTTCCTCGGCAGCTCCGTGGTTCCACTGAATTCCCCCGACGAGTCTCCGCGAAAGAAGGCGACCCATGTGCCGAGGTTCAGCTTGTTCCTAAGAATTTTGTCGATATCGACCGGGAAAAAGTCGGATGACCCCGCCATGAAACTCCTGTAAAGAAACTCCGCGCACTCCACGCTAACCTTCGAAATTCCGACACCGGCCGAGGAGGACGGCGGCCGACGGCCGCCGGCCGGGTGGACGAGGATTGACGGAGTCTTGAACCGGACGTAACCGAATTTGTGGACGAAAAGTTCGACGGAGGCCTCATTGTCTTTCTCGGTGGCCATGTACGCATAATCTACGTGGTTGGAGAGGAACCATTCTTCAATGTGGCGCACCAGACCGGAACCAATCCCTTTTCTCCGGTGAACCGGCGACACCCTTAGCCCTAAAACGTATCCTACTTTCACCGGATTCTTAGGGTTTTTCTTAATCGTCACAACTTTCACAGTTCCTCGTATCACTCCAACTATCTCGTTGCCCAACTCGGCCACCTAAACCAAACAAACCGTATGTATATATTAACTAAAAAACCGGCTTATACCTACCTGCTGGTTACGTAAATTAATATGAAAATATATATATAATAATGAAAAAAATAGCATATATACCAGCATGTTGAACTGTGGACTGTTACGAATTCTACAGATGGGGTCACCCATAGTATCTATGAAGAGAAACACATGCTCTTTTGGCCCTACCTCACATCTTCTCTCAAGATCTTCCACGCGAGCTCTGTCGAATCCACTGTTGTAGCTTCGTATCTTAACCATCTTTTCAATTCCCAGTTTTACCAGAAAGCAAAGCAATCAAGAAGATGAGAGAGAGAGAGCCAAAATGTGTGTTTTTTTTTTTTTTTTCAAATATTAATAACTGTATATATATATATAGTATTTTGTTTGCTTAGAATTTTTAAAGTGGTGGAATATAATGCAGATAGATGGTTTTGAATGAAGTTGGTAACGTTAATGAAGATTGATATATATGGAAGAGAGAGGGGGGAAGGAGGCTTGGCCTAGTCCTCCTCCGATCATACTACACAAAAAGGTAATCAATTATAGAATGGTTCATCAATTCGTTTTGTCTTTAGCCTTTACCCATTCTTAACATAAAATTAGCCTATCCACGTTAGGATAACCTCAGCCTCACGACACTCTGCACGCCTAAGCATATTTCTACGTCCTTTATTAATCCCACTAATTCCCATTCATGATTTTACGTTAATAAAAATACAATTAGAGAAAATGGTCAAATAGACCCCTAAACTTTAGCCAAAAGAGCAATTAGGCACATGAATTTTAAAAATAACAATTACACACTTAAACTTGTCAAAATGAGTCAAATAAGTCTGATTTACGGTAACCAACAAGTTACCGATAATAATATTACGTTGACCACCATTAAAACCAACTTCCGGTGAAAAAGCCACAAGTCCGGTTGCCTCTCCAGTGGAGAAGGCGGCCTTCTCCATGTGTGGAGAAGGCGACTAGTCTGGTCGCCTTCTCCACTGGAGAGGCGACCAGAAAGGTTGCCTTCTCTGGTAGAAGGCGGCCGGTTGGTCGCCTTCCGCCGTAGATGGTGACCGACGACGACTTGGTTGTCGAATTTTTTAGCCAGAATTAAAATGATTTGTAATAACAGGTCAATTACCGGTTCATGGGCTTTATTGACTCATTTTGACAAGTTTAAGTGTTTAATTGCTATTTTTTAAAGTTCAGGAACCTAATTGTCCTTTTGACTAAAGTTTAGGGACCTATTTGTCTCTTTTCTCATACAATTATTATTGTATTTATCGCGTGTATATATATATATATATATATATATATATATATATATATATATATATATATATATATATATATATATATTCAGATTTAATATAATGCCATCCCATTATTATTAATCCGTACCATATAGCTAGTCGGCAAACTCATTCACCAAAATATCTCAGCTTGGTGGAATCTAATCATGGCGAACCCTTCCGTGATCATCATTATTATATGAAATATTAATAATAATCATCATAATAAATCAGTTATTCTTCCATAATCTGTTTCGGATTATATATATAGATAACCAAGTGGGCAGATTCACTAAAGGAAGCGCATCCAGATGGTTTAATTTGGCACTTTGGGAGCTGGCGAGTGGCGACGTGTAACCTTGTAGAGCCTAAGGTTTCCGATGATGTCTGGGACTGTTTGATTAAAATAATGACTAGTTTTGGGTTTGTTGTTGTAAATTATATTACTAATTATAAATAATCTTACATCTTAAATATAATTAACTAATAATGATACTTATTGGGTGATGGTATATATAATGAGGAGGGGGGTCGTTGTCAGTTGGCACTTAGTGTATAATTTGTGTATAAAAGTAGTTGGTGATTCGTTGCGTTTTGGGGACTGTGGCACTCGGGGACCCTAGTGAAAAACAACTAGATTCGTGAATGAAAGTGAAACCCCATTATACATTGTCTTCCTTTTCACCAAAATCATAATCATCAAGAACTCACCCAAATATGCTTTCTAAACTCACGTGTGTGTCTAACATCGGAGCTAAGGGGGGATATAATCTATCCAAATTGCGTGATTTATAATGCGTGCATTCAACAAATAAGAGAGTAAGGGCACTAGTATTTTAATCTTCATTTTAACAAAACCATACATACATATATACATATACATACACATATATATATAGATGAAGGATCTAGGGCCAGATTTTAAGGCGTGCAAGAAGGGCAACAGCACAGGGCCTCAATTTTTAGAGGGCCTGATATTTACACCGTTCATGCTTATTTGAAATATAAAAATCATGTATTTTACAGTAGGAAGTGTGTTTTTTTGCATTCAGCTGGTGTTACACCATTCATACTTATTTGAAATATAAAAATCATATATTTTACAGTATAGGTTTTAAAGATTGCACTTATATTTTTGGTTGGGCCTCATTTATTTATAAGAACGGGGTCAAAAAAAAAAAAAAAAAAAAAACCAGCCATGGAAGGATCAGGTGCAGTAATAGGCTGCAGGTGAAAGATGAGGTTTAATCTCAGCCATTGACCTAGCCAAAATCGATCAACAGCCAAGATTGAAGAAAGTACTTTAAAAAAAACGCGGTGGCATTATGGTAATTTTGCATAAGTTCAAAACTTAAGGTGCGTATGTTTAAAGCTTAAGGTGTGTATGTTTAATGCTTAAGGTGCATCACTGTCTAGTTTAAAAATTTTATAGCTTAAGGTGCGTATGTTTAAAGCTTAAGGTGCGTCACTATCGAGTTTAAGGTGCATCAGTTTAATACTTATGGTGCATCAATTTAAAACTTAAGGTGCGTCACTTTTCTAGTTTAAGGTGCATCAGTTTAAAACTTAAGGTGCAGAGTTTTATAGCTTAAGGTGTGTAGTTTTATATCTTAAGGTGCCTAGTTTTATATCTTAAGGTGCATTAGTTTGAGATAGTTGATCATTTGCATGCATGTTGACAAGAAGCGCGTTTTTTATTTTATTTTTATTTTTATTTTTATAAATTCATTGATTTGAGCCGTTGATCTAGATTTGATCAGCTACCACTAGTACAGAACTGCACATCTACCACTATTGTAAAGAGCTTTTCGCAACTGTTGTACAACAGTCGCGGATTCTAGGGTTGCGGAAAGCCTTGGACTTTACGCGACTATTGTGGAACTGTCTCGGAAGGTTCGTCATCCGCGACCGTTGTTCACTTGAATGGTCACGGATTGTTTTTTTTTTTCGTAGGTCATCCGTGACCGTTCTTTGCTAGGAATAGTCGCAGATGGTTTATATTTATTTTAAAAAAAAAAAATCATTCGCGACTATTCTAGTTTAAGAACAGTCGCAGATGATTATTTTTTAAAAAATATTTTATTTATTTTAATTAAAACCCCTTAGTTTTTTTTTTTTTTTTTTTTTTTTTTTTTTTTTTTTTTTTTTTTTTAATTCATGTACCTGTTACAGCTTAAAATTAAATCCATATCAACAGTTTTACACAATACAGTTTATCATCAACACTAATGTTATCAAACTACCACATACTTTATATCATCACACTTTAATACAATAATATCATCATAACACAATACTTTTAACACAAAACTAATATCAAACTTTATACTAACACATGTACAATACTTTATATCATCACAACACAATACTATCATCAAAACACAATACTTTGTATTATCACACTTTAATAAAATAATATCATCAAAACGCAATAATTTTATCAATAAAACAAAAGTTACACGCAATGTTTTAAGAAGTATTTTGCTCAATGCACTCGAATCTCGTTTATGTCGTCGATAGAATATGGACTATTGCTTTCAAATGCCTACAAAATAATTTAATTAATAAAATTCTTAAATATGTTAATTAATAAAATATAATTTAACTATACATATAAAGTTCTATTTAAATTCACTTACCTTATCCAAACAATCAACAAATAAATATTTTGTCACGATATCAAACATGTATCGCATGACATAATATCCACACCCAACACTTCCCGGTTGTATCGGGCGCTACAAAATACATATATATTTTAGTAATTTAAACAAGAGTTAATTACCAAAATGGTCCTTTGACTATAGCGAAATTACCAATTTGGTAATTGACTATTTTTTTTGACTAATTAGGTCCATCAACTTTAAAAATCTTAACCAAATTTGTTCTCTGTTTATTTTTCCGTTAGACATCCGTTAACTCGGGACCAAATTGGTAATTTCTCTATAGTCAAGGGACCATTTCGGTAATTAACTTTTCGGAGGAAATGATGCATGTGATGACCGAAATGGTCCATTGACTATGCAAAATTACCAATTTGGTCCTGAGTTAACGGATGTCTAACAGCAAAACAAATGGAGGACCAAATTGGTTAAGATTTTTAAAGTTGAGGGACCTAATTGGTCATAAAAAATGGTCAAGGAGCAAATTGGTAATTTCACTATAGTCAAGGGACCATTTCGGTAATTAACTCTTTAAACAATTTATTGTAATTCAAAATATCACACTAAAGCTTAAGTTCAATTTTCATACATACTTCGCATTGCTTCCAGTTGATGTTTCTAATCCGTCCATTCGTAGGAACAGAGCGAAACGCCTTATATTAATTATAAACATATATAAAAATTTATAAATAATATAATAGAAGTTAAAATACTTATTTATATAATAAGGTATTTACTTACAAATTCAGAGTAGCTTTAATTTCAATGTCGCGATCACAAGGCAGGGGATCCAAGACATATACCCTTTTTGAGCGTATGCAAATCACTAAAAGTAACCAATAAGATCTACATTTAAAAAACACAAATACATATTAAAATTTTAATATCTAATATTTCAAATCAAGTTATTAATTTATATTAGTAAAGTAAAAGAACAATTTTCTTACTCTTGATGATATGGTACTAAAATAAATTATTTATCTTTGTTATGCTCCATGACATGGATGAAATATGACGAAACAACGGAAACATTCCATTTAAGCATATCCTTTGAATCAGAGTCGAACATGCAAACCTGATTGACGTGACTTGAAATTGATTGCACAACCAATTAAGAAATATGAAATTAAGAAATAATAAGAAATTTAAATATATACAACAGAAACTAACTTAATAACTAAATATAAGAATGCAAACCTCATCCAAAATCACTAAATGCATAGGCCATTGTGCAAATTGCCAACGATATCTACTATATTGACATGCTGTTGAGCTGACATGAGGAGATTAAATTACTCTCCACCAATCACTTCATCGACCCAAACTTTGACACAGTCAGGGACAATGGTTGATGATGCACCATAGTCTCATTGTACTTGGGTGAGCTATACCCTTTGGAACAACAATTGGCGTGCCACCGGGACATACGGCTAGTGAACACCTTTTTGGACTCTATTATTAAAAAAACATGTGTTGATCTTAATCTAACAAGAAAGTATATTTGATATATGAAATAACTTTTGATATTACCTTAATTTCTTTAACTAGATATGTGTCAACTGAATGACAACTGCTTTGTGTAGGCGGTAGATCACAAAGCGTTGGATCAAAAGGGGTGTAGACACTTTGAGGAGTTCCAGCCGAGACCCCTTGTGAAAATAGATGTGTCTCTGACATCTTCTTCATCATAAACTGGAGTTTCTGGTTCAGGCTATCAATATTGGGTTGCATCTTTGCTTCCATCTTCGTGATTGTATCTTGCATGCATTTATCTATGATTTGTTTGACAACATCTACCGTGAAAACCCCACTCGATGTGCTTTGTTTTCGGTCTAGTCTACCAAACACTCTTTAGATGATAGAGTATGAACCAATTCCTCTTACAAAACCTGAATGGTCATCCTTTCCAAGAACTGCTGACAATATGTCATGATGTCTTTTTGGTTCAAATGTCCCTTGATTAATTTCTTCACATTTTTCTACCTGTTCCAACAAATAAGATAACTCAAGTATTAGTATTTTTATAAATATTTTGTATTATAATGACATTTTTTGAAAAAAAAAATATAATACTTACAATTTTATGAAGCACTTCATGTGTTTTTTCATTCTGAATAAAGTAACTTCCATCATCTGCTTTTTTGGTTCTTGCTCGTATCCAATCAAAGCTGCAATCATCAGACACCAAAGACGAGCTAACTAATGCACACAAAGACTGTGAAGATAAATAGTTTGATTTCATCCACTCTTGTCGTTTCCTCACATATCCACCAGAACCTAAGAAGTGTGGATGCTCATTTAACGTCTGCATTTCCCTCGCCTTATGACTTTTTTCCGATGATTTCACTGACATGTTAATATTAATAAAACACTTGAATTACTTATAATATACCTTAAACTCTGTAGTCTACCGCCCATTGTTACCCTACCACACTTATCAAACTAAACTGAAATTTGTTCATTATTAGCCTTCTTCTTTTTTTCAAGTTTTTGCATATTGTGGGCTTTTTTTTTTTTTTTTTTTTTTTTCGGTCCGTTAGCAGAAGTAGGAGGGTCTGAAGGAGGAGTAGATGTAGATTGATAAGTTATGGTTGTCTATATATACCTACACAAACAAACAAAATTATTAGTAAACATGTTATATTGCATTCCAACGCGAATAAAATACTCCTAAAATTTCTACAATCAACTAATGTTATCAACTAGTTATACTCTCTAATTAACCCAATCAGCTAACAGCCATTTACAAAACATGACCTAAATCCTTTTTCAAGATTGCTCTTTAAATATTTAAAGATGTAAATGCGGCTCTTCCATAATGACTAAGTTTATATGTATTAAATTTACTTCATACCATTTTATAGTATTAAATTAAATAAGTGTATTAATCTCCAAAAGATGACAAATTAGAAGAGTATGATTCTCATTCCTTCGATCAAGCTCATCACATAAGGTCTAAGTATATACTCTCATATAGTTGCAGTGTGTTTTCTAGCTAAATTATTATTATTATTATTATTAGGAAAAATTACATTTTTCGTAACTAAGTTATAAGATAATTGTAGAATTTGTCTATAAATGTTGGTCATACTTTCTACCTTAAGTTATCATTGACGTTGCACTTTTCGTCCATTTACAAATAAGGGACGAAAAGTGAGCACGAACGGATGAAAAGTGCAACGCCAATGATAACTTAGGGACGAAAAGTGTGCATGCATGACCAAGACTCAAGGACAAATTCTACAATTACCTTATTATTATTATTATTATTATTATTATTATTATTATTATTATTATTATTATTATTATTATTATTATTATTATTATTGTTATTGTTATTGTTATTGTTATTGTTATTGTTATTATTATTGTTATTTATTATTTTTATTATTATTATTATTATTATTATTATTATTATTATTATTATTATTATTATTATTATTATTATTATTATTATTATTATTATTATTATTATTATTATTATTATTATTATTATTATTATTACTACTACTACTACTGCTGTAGTGCAATTAAAGATATGGTTTGAATAGTTTATATATTTGATGTTATCATTGCTTGAATTTGTGCAAATAATTGCTCAAATTAATAGCTAATGTCTAGATGTACGCATATAGTGCTATAACATTGAAAGTTTTATTTATCATTGTTTAGTATTTTCATAAATTAGGCAAATGTGCTCGTTCTCTAACAACTCAGTTATAGGACTGAATTGCTATCATAATTCATTTGTATGGAAGATATATTTTTTGTCTAGATATATAGCAATTTTTCCATTAAAAAAGAAACATAATATCACTGATTATATTTACACATTATTGAAACCTCTTTGTAGACGACATTGGTAGTGGCAACAAAATCTTGTCCATCATCGTCTAGGGTTAATACCTTCCATCCATCAGGACGGGTTACTCGGGTTAAATTATATAATAGTAGATGTTATTATTGAAATATTTCTGTTCCATTTTTAATTTACCATTACTATTGTTTAAAATATGCATTTACTATTGATGATGTAGAGTGTTATTATTGAAATATTTTCGTCCAATTTTTAATTTCGGTTCCATTTTTAATTGAAATGCAATGATCTGACCATTTCTTTTTTTTTTAGTCAATTATGGATCATTTTTTATTTGCAGTCAATTATTAATATTCATTTTCTTTTATATTTTTAGTCAATTAGTAATATTAGATTCATTTTCAGTCAATTATTATTATTTTTTTAGATAATTAGTCAATTAGAGTATAGATGGAGTGATATTTTTACCTAATTTCTATCCCATTTTTATTTGATGATGTAGAATATTATTATTGAAATATTTTTTTTCCATTTTTAATTTACCTTTACTATTTTTTAAAATATATATTTATTATTGATGATGTAGAATATTATTATTGAAATATTTCCTTCCAATTCTAATTTTCCTTTACTTGATGATGTAGAATATTATTATTAAAATATTTATGTTCTATTTTTTTTTTATTTCCGTTCCATTGTTTGAAATTGTGAAAGATTTATGATATAATTGTGATTTGATTTATTCTACTGCGTAATATTATTGTGAAAAATTAAAATGCAATAATTTGACCATTTCTTTTTTCATTTTAGCCAATTATGGATCTTTTTTTTTTCAATCAATTATTAATATTCATTTCCTTTGCCCAATTAACCTAATTTCCATTCATTTTTCCATTTTTAATTTTTAGTCAATTATTAATATTCATTTCATTTTTCAATTTACATAATTCTCGTTTCATTTTTAATTGATGATGTAGAATATTATTGTGACATATTTCTATTCCTTTTTTAGTTTACGTTCGTTTTTTAATTTACCTTTACTATTTACTATTATTTGGGCGGAAAATCAAGTAAATAGGATTTTGTTTTTAATTATAGTATAGATATAGATATAGATTATTTATTTATTTATTATTATTATTATTATTGTTGTTGTTGTTGTTGTTATTATTATTATTAAGTTAATTCTGTTTTCTTTTTCATTTTTCATTTTCTATTGTTTGTGAAGAAGTGTGTGGGCAAGAATGAAAGAAAGAATTTCTAAGTATAGATGGATTATTAGCTTAGCTATCATAATAATTATTAGCCAATTATACTAACGGTGCGTTTGGAAACCCAAAAAATGCTTCTAGAAATAATTTTCTGGGTGTTCAGTGTTTGGTTTGAGAGGAGAATTTTCTGGAAAAAGACTTTTTTTTGGAGGAAGTCATTTTCAGTTTACAATAGTGGAGCAGCCAATCACCCGCCACCACTGAGTACAGCCAAAACTTATGTTGCATGTAATTTAAAATAAAAATTGTTATATTATAAACAAAACAATAAACATGTTTTTCTTTTATATATAACAATTAAAATGTTTAAGTATACAATTTTACTCATTTTCCTATTCATTTTCTGAAAAATGAACCAAATACACAAAGATATATATAGATTAAATATGTGGATGGTAGAAAAGAAAAAAGTGATTAGAAAATTTGACAATTACCTTTGTTCTTGTTATGTGCTTCCTATTGTTTCCTATAACTCCTAATCTTGTGAGCTTCTTTATAGTACTATATTTGAGATGGTAATACAACTTCAATATTTTTATTTAAAACACTGTGTTTTGTTTTATAAGGCAATTAGATGTGATTTTTAATCTTCTCTTGAAATTGGAAAAACCCAAAAAAAATAAAAAAATCACAATGAATTATTAAATTGTAATTTGAAATTCTTTTTCTACAGAATTACTGGAGTAATTTATCCTTCGATTACTACTTCATGCTTCATAAGATACTAATAATGCATGTATGTATATTAGTTTTTTTTTTTTTAAATGTATAGATTAGCCCCCCCCCCCCCCCCCCCCCCCCCGGCTCTTTTTTTTTTTTTTTTTGCATGTTTTATTTATTGTGTATTTGTGCATAATAGTTGGAGGTTATACTTTGATAAAAGTCATAGTTCTTCCTTAACCCTGTGTAACTTGGGATTTATCTGTGTTATTAATTTGTTATCTTTTTTTTTTTTTTTTTTTTTTTTGCATTATTGTTAGAGTTTTTATAATAAGATGCTAGTCCACTAAGAGTAAGGTCCTACTGTGCTATTAACAAATTATATTGTATAAGATATACTTGTGTTCTTAATTTAAAAGGAGAAATCTGTACATCTTGTATTAGTTTGATATGAATATTTATTTATTTATTAATATTGTAAATAAAAATACATTTAATCCCTATATACAAAATCTACAGAAAACCCACAAAAGACCTATACATTTCTTTTATACTATTACACCTCTTATTACTTGTCAGTGTCTTTGATTGTCAGTTCACACATCTGCAAAAAAAAAAAAAAAAAAAAAAAAAAAAAATTGTTAAGCACTTAGGTAAAAATCATATAAGTAGTTAAGCTGCAATAAGTTAAGTCAACTATTTTATAAAGCAGTAATTTTCAAACATGTAAAACACATAAAATGCCACAAGGGCATACCTATCCAACCATTTTACCCATTACAGGCCGTTTGGTTGGGGGGGAGGGGGGGGGGGGTGAGGGGATTACGTGGGAAAGGAATTGCAATTTCATGGGATATGAATTACTGAGAATAAATTGGAAATTTAAATTTCAGTATTTGGTTTACATGAATAGAATTACTGGGAATTTCAATTCTAATGTTTGGTATACATGGGAATTGAAAGGGAATAAGTAGTATAAAGTCCAAAATGCCCATTATTTTGGTATTAATTTTAAATTAAAAAAAGGGAGGGGTAATTTTGTCTCATCACTAGCTTTTTTTCTTCCTAAAATTCCAGGAATTAAAATCCCAGGGGGAGACATGGGATTTTAATTCCATGAAAATGTGGAAATTGCAATTCCTTCCAACCAAACTAAGGAATTTTATGACCTTTGGAATTAGGCGAGAATTAAGTAGGAAGAGAATTTAAATTCCCTCCAACCAAACGCCCTGTTAGTTGTTTAATTGTCACATTTATTGAACTATTATTTACCATAATAATATTTGATTTCACATAGTAATAGTTTGAGAGATAGTTTGGGCGAGAATGTGTAAAATTAGGATTTTGTTTTTTTATTAATAGTATACTATTATTAAAAACAAAATCCTCCTTTCGTGCATTCCGGTCCAAACACTTGCGCCCAAACAATTAATCTATTCTATACTGTTGGTTTGTACAACCCTGATGGCTGCTCGGCTGGCCAACACTACCGAAAGAAAATAAAGATCTTTTGTGAGATAATGAAAATAAAGATGAGTTAATAGAGAGAGAACAATGCGGTGTTATTTCTCTAGGGTTTGGCCCTCGAAGTGTCGATCCAATAAAACCCTTTACATGATGATCTCGGGGAGATATTTATACATAGATGCGGAGTTCGCATATGGTAAGTAGGGTTGACGCAAGGCCTAACTTAATGGGGGAATAGGGCTGACGTGCTGTCAGCTTACTGCCTTTTCCATATGAACTAAATAAGGAAGCTGCCTAATGCGCGAGGATTTCTTCTGTAGAATCTGCTCAACGCGTTACTGGGGTGTGCCTGGCGAGGAATGGTCCCGACTGCGCGGAGAGCTTTCCTGGGTACTTACCCCTAGATAATGACATCCCGTCCGTAGGGTCTGGTCGGCCAGCCAGGTCCCGGGAAAGTGTTTGATCAGAGGCGCGCCACCCGGCGTAACTGGTCGTTTAACCGTATCTCTTCTACGAGCCCGCCTCGGGATACGCCGGCCGGTGGGTTGGCTGATTAGGAGTGCTCGACGGCCACCGCAAGGCGCTTCGCCTCTTGGCTGGGAAGTCCTTGGCGACCCTCCCCCTGCCAAGTAATGAATCATCTCTAAGTCTTGTTGTCTTGTCTGACCTTCCATCCATGCGGCAGATTTGGGGTATCTATCATATACTATAATTAAAAAACAAAATCATATTTACTTGATTTCACGCCCAAACAATAGTAAATAGTAAAGATAAATTAAAAAATGAACATAAATATTTTACAATAATACTCTAAATCATCATCAATTAAAAATGGAACAAAAATTATGTAAATTGAAAAAAGAAATGAATATTAATAATTGACTATAAATTAAAAATAGAAAAAGAAACGAAAATTATGTTAATTGGAAAAGGAATTGAATATTAATAATTGATTGAAAAAAAATGATCCATAATTGACTAAAATGGAAAGAAAGTTGTTGGATCATTGCATTTTAATTTTTCACAATAATATTACACAGTAGAATAAATCAAATCACAATTATATCATAAATCTTTCACAATTTTAAACAAAGGAACAGAAATTAGAAATGGAACGAAAATATTTTAATAATAATATTCTATATCATCAAGTAAAGGTAAATTAAAAATGGAAAGACAATATTTCAATAATAATATTCTACACCATAAATAGTAAAGACATATTTTAAACAATAATAAAGGTAAACTAAAAATGGAACAGAAATATTTCAATAAAAATATTCTACATCATCAATTAAAAATTGAACAGAAATTAGATAAAAATATCAGTGCATCTGATATTCTAATTGAAATTGACTGGAAAAAAAATGAATAATTGGCTGAAAATGAATATGATATTACTAATTTACTGAAAATATAAAAGGATCACTAATTGACTGATATTCTACCATTATATATTTTCACCTGAGTCACCCATCTTGATGGACTGAAGGTGTTAGCTCTAGACGAAGATGGACAATATTGTGTTGCTACTACCAATGTTGTCTACAAAGAGGTTTCAATAATGTGTAAATACAATCGGTGATATTATGTTTTTTAAATGGCAACATTGTTATATATCTAGACAAAAAATATATTTTCTATAAAAATGAATTAGGATATCAATTCATTCTTATAACTGAGTTGCTAGAGAACGAGCACATTTGCCTAATTTATAAAAATACTAAATAATGATAAATAAAATTTCTAAAGTTACAGCACCGCATGCGTACATCTACACATTAGCAAAGAAATGATAACATCAAAACAGATAAATGATCAAAGCCACATCTTTAATTGCACTCTATCATATTTGATGTTCTAATTTAAATAATTATATATCAATCTAAATATTCTTAATATATTACAACAAATATATTTCGTGCATCACACAAGTGAAACTACTAGTATTTGATAAAATTAAAATAGGCAGAGCCATCAACCACTCTGACGTGTCAGAATAATCAATTCATTTATGATTTTTAACATTTTAAAGTTAAAAGAAATAAGACATTAAATATATATATATATATATATATATATATATATATATATATATATATATATATATATATATATATATATAAACAAAGAAAAGAAAAACACATTGTCCTCAATTGCTTATTTAGCAAAGCCATTTCTCCGGTTTGATATTCGTCGTCATCCTCCTCCGATCTGTCATCGGAAAAGTTAGGAGTAACATATCGAGGGTTTGTTTTCACCAGCAGGGCCAAACTTGCCACCAGTGCAGTTTGGCAGACATGGAAATCCGGCCATTTTGTCACTGAAATCTAGACTCCATAGTCGACCGGAATACCCGGCCGCCCTTCAAAATAATTGGTCCGATTCTCCACAGCACTGAACATACATCCTTAGCCATAACTAAAAAAATCATTCCCGGCCTAATCAGATAATGCTTCGGCCACCACCGTTTGCCGCTACCGTGGTCGCCGGCGACCGTTTCTTTTTGCCAACTTTTTCTTCATTTTAAAAAAGAGTAAAAACATTTTTGGTCCTAGATTTATAGTGGCACGGACAATTTTAGTCCTTTTTAAAAAAATCAGACAATTTGTGGTCACTCTTATTATGACGAGGACAAATTTGGTCCTCCGTCTAAATTTCCGTTAGATGGCAAGTTAAATAGGGGGTAATTTCGTCTTATCAAGTGCCCTTCATTCTTTCCCTTTTTTTTTTCCCTTTTTATTCCCGTTCTTAGTCAGTGAAGACATTCGAGTGGTTCTGTTCTTCATTCGAGATTGACGAGCGAAGAGGCAGATTGAAGAAGCAATCCTGGTCGAAGCAACACTCTCTCTAAACAGGCAAATCTGGTCGAAGGAAAATGCAAGGAGGAAGCTGTAACTCTTCCAGTTCATCAACTACAAGGCGAAAGGTATATGGTGAATGGATTTCGATTCAAGTTTGTGAATGTGGGCAAGAAATGGTTTTGAGAACATCTTGGACCAATGAGAACCCGGGAAGGAGGTACTGGGAATGTTTAGGATGCAAGGTTAGATGCAAAATTTTAAATTTGTTTGGATAAATTTGTTTTTTAAAAAAAAAAAATTTAAGCTGTAATCATTATCCATGCTGATAAATATGTTTTTTTTTTGTTGAGTTTGATGATTCAGAAATGTGAAATTGAATTACTTATATTGGTGTTTTAATTTGTGCAAATTTATCAGGATGGATTCGTGGCTTGGTTCGATCCCCCAATGTGCCCTAGGTCAAAGAAGATTATACCGGGCTTATTGAAGAAAGTTAACAAAATTGAAGAAGAAAACGCATATTTAAAATGCAAGTTGAGCAAATGGGAAGACATTCAAATTAAGAATAATCGTAGGAATACAAAATGTAGATCCATGATGATGTTGGTTGCAGTTGCCCTTATTGTACTATTAATTTCTTATCTTTCAATTGTTGTATCTGTAGGGAGCAACATGTATATGCTTCCATAATTGGTGTTTGGTTTATCAATGGATATTTGGTTTATCAGTTTATTTGTAGGGAGCAAATGGATATTTGAGTTTATCAATGGATATTTGGTTTCACTGGATATTTGGTTTATTCAGTTTATTCAAATTCAGTTTATCAGTTTAACAATTTATTCAAATTCAGTTTATCAGTGGATATTTGGTTTCACTGCCAGTTTTACAAAGCAAATACACAAATCAGTTTATCAATGCTTCCAAAAAACACCATTACATTCACTGCCAATTTCAGTTTTACAAAGCAAAGCTACACAACATTCATTCACTGATTACATTCATTCACTGCCAATTTTAGTAAGAATCTGCCAATAAACACCATTACATTCACTGCCAATTTCAGTTTTAAAAGCTAAGCAAGAATGTCAGTTTTGATGTCAAAAATACAAGGCTTAAACAGTGATTACATGGAACAAAAAAAGGAACATCTTAATGTCATTCATTCGATGTCCACAGGTGTATCCACGGTGTTGGTGAACCTGCACTTCAGTGTTGTCCTAGATCTTGTCATAGGTTCCCTCTGAATTGGTAATTTGTTCCTTGATGTCAACCCTAAGTTAGACCTTTTGGGAGGAAGAGGTCTAACACAAACATTCTTTGGCTGAGGAGGTGTAACAGAAACATGCTCTGGCTGTGTAATGTCAACCCCATACTCTGGCTGTGTAATTGAGATTTCATCAGGTTGAGGTCCATTGTCATACATTGTTGCCACCTCTGCTGCTTCATTCCAAAATTCAGTCATGTCTTCAGCTGCAACACTACTCCCTTCAAGTGAAGTCCCAGTAACTGCTGCAAGTGGAGTCCCAGATGTGTTCTTCCTTGTCCTAGTTGCTGCTGCAAGTGGAGTCCCAGATGTGTTCTTCCTTGTCCTAGTAGCTGCTGCAACTGGAGTCCCAGAGTTGTTCTTCTTTGTCCTAGTAGCTGCTGCAACTTGGAGTCCAGTAGATGATGGAAGTGGAGTCCCGGATTTGTTCTTCCTTGTCCTTTTTCTTGGATTCAGCTACATCACAAACAAACAATGGATTATAGTAAATATCTTTCTTTTAACAGTAAATATATGCATACATTAAAAGTAGTTGTCAATACCTTTCTTTGACTTGTAGAAGGATCTTGAGGGCATGTTCTAGAGTTATGGCCAGTCTTATTGCATTTCTTGCAATGCTTAACTAGCAAGCTAGGTTTCATATGTGTCCCATCCTTGGTGAGTTCATCTCTGCCCCTTTTTCTCAATTTCTTTGGTCTTCCCACTTTGGTTGTGTATAGTGGAGGCAATGGAGGTTCCTTGTCTGACCTTGGCCATTCACTTGGACCAAAAAGTGGGTTTATCTTCCCTCCATAGGTATTCAAGTAATTGTTTGTTGAGTAGCAAGGGTGTACATAGTTATGAACAGGCCCTCTTCCATGTTTCATCCAGATGGCACACACAGCATGTTTACAAGGTATCCCAGTTAACTCCCACCTCCTACAACTACAGCTACCCCTTAACAAATCTATTGTATGTTGCTCTAACCCCTCTAACCCTACCATGCACTTTATCTCAAATAGATTATCATCACTTTGAGTCGCCAAACATCCAGCAGCATCCCTCTCAATTTCAAAAAAATTTTTCATTATTGAAGGACAGAATGGACCCTTCCACTTAGTAGCCTTTTGTTTATTTTCAAATAATTTAGCCATAAGTAACTTCCTAATAGATTCTACACAAGATATTAGTGGTTCTGCCCTTGCATCTAAAATCATGGCATTGAAACTTTCTGATATGTTGTTCACTAATGCATCAGAATTAGAAAAAGTTGTGAAATGGGACCTTGACCATTCTGAAGGATGTTTCTCAGCTAGCCACAAGTATGCATTCATATCTAACTTCTTGATCTCCTCCATAGCATCAGTGAAGCTGTTTACTGTTGTTGCCTTGGCTGCTGCCCATAAACAATCCTTCATTGTCTTGTCCACAAAACCTGCCAACTTCATGTTCCCATGGAGATGCCTAACACAAAATCTATGTGTGGCATTTGGAAACACTTGCTCAAATGCAGGCAAGAGACCTTTCTGTTTGTCTATAATATATATATATATATATATATATATATATATATATATATATATATATATATATATATATATATATATATATATATATATATATATATATATATAAGGAGTAATAAACAGAATTAGTGCAGAATTCAAATTTCAAAATTCAAAAATCAGAATTCAAAATTCAAAAATCAGAATTCAAAATTCAAAATTCAGATTGATAACTCAGAATTCTATACCTGAAATAAAGGTTAGTTGTTGTTCAGCTTGTGGTGTGATCTCTAGGTCATCGTGAAGATACTGCAAGAACCAAATCCATGAATCTTTTGTTTCTCCTTCTACAATGGCATAAGCCAATGGGAATATACTTTCATTTCCATCTACACCCACAGCAGTTAAAAGTTGTCCTCCAAACTTGTTCTTTAGATGTGTGCCATCTTCACCACTTTCATTACTGTACTCATAGTCCTCTGAAACACTGTCTGACTCATCACTGTCAGTATATTCACCCTCTGCAGACCCATCACCATCACCCTTAGCCTCACCAGACTCACCACAAACAACCCACACTTCAATCTCCTTAGGAAACATTCCAAAATCAGAAATTACCCAGCAGTCACTGTCATTTACTAATTCAAATAATTCTCTTGAATTAGTAAGTGTGAAATACTTAAACTTGTCTAGCATGTTATATCCCAATTCTTCAACTGTCTCCCTTAATGTTATCATCCCCCACAAATCAATGTCCAAAGTAAAACGTTGACTAATTCCTCCAACATATCCTACTCCTTTAACTTTAAGGCAACCACCATGTTTTAGCTTCAATATAAACTGAGCACTGTTTCCATCTATTTCATTAGGACAAAAGAAAAAAAAATAACTTAAAGAAAGAACAAAATTCAACACTGTCCAAAGCAGTAAAATCCAATATAAGAAAGCAACACTGATTATTTAAAGCCAATAACACATGGACCTAGATAGCATACATGTGGTTTATTTTGCAATAAAATACACAATTGATTATTTAAAGCCAATACTGATTATTCAACACTGATTATTTTGCAATAAAACCAACCAATTGAATACATAATTGTGGTCCCCAATGGGAAAGACAAATGCAAGTGGTCCACACTATATGAATATATGTACTACACTTCATAAAAGTGAACAACAAACCAAAAACACATGGACCCATTCACAACTGCACTGGGACCTAGATAGCAACACAAATTATTTAAACAAACTACTTTCAACAATAAAGATAGCAACACAAATTATTTACAACTGCACTGGGACCTAGATAGCATACATATATAAAGGATAGCATACATATATAAAGAAACAACTTTCAACATACAGAGCACACATAGACAAACGAAATGCTTCCTTACCTGATTTATTCATCTCCATTTGCCTCCGTTCGTCCTCTATTTCGTCTAATTGTGGAGTAGAGTGGTGAATGTGGTCTTCAATCATTGCGAATGTGGACTTCAATCTTCGAGCGAATGTGGTCTTCAATCTTCGAATTATGTCTTCGACATGGTCGTCTCCTAGTAAGAATACAATTTAGGGTTTCACTCGAATATCTTCGCTAACTGAGAACGGGAATAAAACGGGAATAAAAAGGGAAAAAAAAAGGGAAAGAATGAAGGGAACTTGATAAGACGAAATTACCCCCTATTTAACTTGCCATCTAACGGAAATTTAGACGGAGGACCAAAATTGTCCTCGTCATAATAAGAGTGTCCACAAATTGTCTGATTTTTTAAAAAAGGACTAAAATTGTCCGTGCCACTATAAATCTAGGACCAAAAATGTCTTTTACTCTTTTAAAAAAATACATACAAGTATCACATATTGATGAGGCAATATATATGCACATGATTTGCACGAATATATTTATTAATTCTAAAATAAAACAAGAATGAGTTAATGCCCAATGTCTATAATTAAATAAAGCTCAATGTCTATAATTAAATAAATATTTGAAACTATATCAATGCAAGATTATATATGATGAGAAGTTCATACATAAGTTATTTAATGTCGAATTTGTTTATATAAATATGTAACTCATAGTATATGAATACAATGTAATATATGAGATTCATTATAATTGTTACTAAACCTTTTTTAAATAGTAACCAAGTATTTTTGTTACAAAAGGTTCTAATATATTTAATTAATGCACATATATACAAGATCAATGAATGAATCAACGGGACCAATCCTTATGTAACCCAAAGATCAAAATGCTAAAAAAAGTGTTTGGTTATTCAACTGTTTGAAGCAATAATTTGTTCCAAGCCACCGAAAATACAAACATTGCAATTTACAATATTTTCACTTAGCGTTTTTGGGAATGATTTCCCCAAAACACCTCTATATTTAAAAAAAAAAAAAAAATTATTGTAAAGTAATTTCGACTCATTGAATAACAAGAGCTAGTTTTGTTGGCTCACTGCTTGCCCATCAACAGATGGGCAAGCTTAATTTTTAAATTGGAGCCTTAAGGCTCCTTTTATAGGAGCCTCAAGGCTCCAATGCTACTTTTCCCATCGATGTGGGAAAATTGGCAAAACTAAGGGGAGCCGAACGTTCGGCTCCCCATATGTTTTATTATTTTATTTTTTTAATTAAATTATTTTTATTTTTACTTTTTTAAAAAATTATTATTATTATTATTATTATTATTATTATTATTATTATTATTATTTTCACCCGTGCGATGCA